GAACCATTTGGTCTCTCTACAACACGCTTCTTGTTGTTTATTTATAACCTCAGATTTTTGATAATCCCTTGTGAGTGCTGGTCTAGCCGATAAACTGCATTAATTTGTATATCTTTTAATTTCAGAAAGCGTCCTCTGAATGTGTCAAGTTTTCTCCCAAATGACTCCTGGGAATTCGCTTAGACGAACTTATCCGGCAGTGAATTCCAGCATTTGAGTATTCTTAAGGAGTAGAAGTTTGGTCTGCAATCCGTTCTGCTCTGTTGTGTCAACAGGTTCTAGGTGTTACTCCTTAGGTTTATGTTGGAACCTAGCTTAAGTGTTTAAGAGGATTCCAGAAGAATTTAGGATGCTATAAGACATTAGGTCACCTCTAGGACTCCTGTACTCTAATGGGTAAGGGGTCAGTGATTGAAGGCGCTCTTCATAACGCTTGAATCAACGTCCTCGAACTGACTTCGTGACTCACCATTGGATACGTTCCAGAGTGTCCTTATCCTTTTGGAGTGAGGGTGGAAACACTATGATTAAGTACTCTAAATGGAGATGAATAAAACTGTTGAAGATTATTTAGAACGTTTTTCCATCAAACTGGCAAAAATAAGCTTCAATGTTAACAGTGCAAGATTTGCTCGGAAGGCAGTTTTGTCGCAATTGGAGTAAGACTTTAAATCGTAGGGTTCCAACACTCCTATATCTTTTGCAAATTGATGACTTCTTGAGGAGGGTTGTCTAAGTCGTAGCTGTAGTCTGACTTGCTCATGTGAAACTTGTGATGTTAAAGCATTTTCAACTCTCATACACTCCATTTACCTTGGTACGATGTGTCCTGTTCTCTCCAAGATATAGGTGTTTCAGTAAAACCAGTCTTCAATTTTCGTTATGAGAAGTATAAACGGTACTCCATCAATGGGATTGGCGAAGTGGATGAATATTAGTTACCGACCAGCAAGGATTGATGTTGAGAACTATGACTTCAATCTACACATGAGTGTGGGACAGAACATTTTGTTTGTTTCAAGCACATTATGATTTAGGATTAGGCAACGTTCATTTAAACTGAGGATATTGTCCTACGCTCAGTATCTAGACTTATGTCCCCAATGTTATGTTGGATTCGCTATTCTGCTAAGATTATACACAACATCCTGACCCAGACTCTTACATAATTACTAATCGCTTGGCATCAGATGAAAGGAAAAGAAAAGAAAAAACCAAACAATAAGTGACATAGTTATCAGCTTTCCTTAACACTTTACATTCGTGATGCATTTCCATTTGTGATGGACAGCTTTTCTTAGTCTAACTTCGACTCTTTTAGTGGCCCGTGGATCTGACTCCAATTAGATCGTAATGATGATTGTTGTTGAAATATATATGTCGCCTATTCTCGTATACAACCACTGACTTAAATCACGTTAGTCAATAACGGAAGTTAGATAATTCAGCTAACGAGAATGGCCTTTGAATACATACATTTTGTTTGTAAAGTGAATGTAGTAGAACAAAGCAAAATGAGACGCAGGGGAGGTGGCTGGTAAGCCAACTCCTTTTTAGCCAGGCGTTACTCATTATTTATAGGCAGACAAAATAAACTACAGACATGTGATGAGACATAGGATATGAAGTGTACACAGATATACGCTCATATAAAAACAGTCAAGACTGATAAGCGAATAATTGACAAGGTAAAATATGACTCAATTAGAATGAATGGATTGGTTTGCCCAAAAACTAGAATAAGATATATTATGGGCTTAAAATAATGACTGACACTAAACTCCCCTTCAACCATTTCAACCCATTTCGCTTTGTTACATATCACAGTTCACTGTCATTTATTGGTGTATTCTCTTATCTAAAGACCATAGCCACATTTTACTCTAGGTTTTAGTATGAACTTAACCTACCAATTTATCATGTCTTAATCTGTTCCACTATAAAATGTCCATCACTGTTTAGGGTTTATATCCAAATGACCTGCTGCTCTTTTGTTTCTCTTTTTTCAACAATAATTATAAACACCCTAAAGAGTTGTATTGCACAAATACTTGGCACGACCAGCATTCCCAAAACAATGCCGATCTTGAACCTGGTGTGTAACGTGGACGCGATGTGATCATTATAAACGGTCATAAAAACTGAACCCATAGTGCATCACTTAAACATAAAACTAATAACTAACTTTTTTGGTCATCTAAAACTGATCAGTTAACAGCCTGCCTGAAAAATCCAAGAATCTTTACAGCTCTCATTATTTTAAGTGATAGAGTATTAACATAAGAAAATAACAGGGAGTTGTTTGTACAAATGTTATTGGTGATGATAATAACACATTACTGGCGGTTTGGATTGAACAGCTCAATGGATAATGTATTATATGCTTTTAGCGCAAGTCATAGATTTGAGTTCCGTTGTGAATATCAAGGCTGGGATGTAAACACGCCAGCTTGTGATTCTCAAGTCGGAAGAGACACACATTCTGGATTCCACTGTTAGCTACCACACAACTTTGCTAAATATTTGTCACCGAATTGCAGTATTGAGGCAATCTACTAAGGGTTCACATAAGAAAGGAGACTGATCAGTTTGGATGGTGGTTGGAAGTAGTCGACAGGAAACCCTGTATCTGGGTTTCACGCTACTTGACACTCGTCAGCAAGGTGTACCTGTAATCTTGAGGGAACTGGTGCTCCCTGGCGGATTCGATCTCATGTCACCCAGCTTCACAGTCAGAGACGTTACCAGTGAGCTACTCGAGCCGCGACTGACCTCCTCTAGGACTGAGATGTAATCACAATTGATTGATCACCGGGTGGTGATCAATGTCATGCGTTTCTAGTCCTTCTTAGTGCAGATCGGGTCTAGGGTTTCCTGTCGACTACCTCCAATCACCATCTTATCTCACAATAGTGCACCTGAAAGGCCTCAATTAAATCCTCTAGCTTTCTGAAGTTAACAGCTATGAAACGAGTAGACTAAATGGTCGCAAGATATGACGGACAAGGTAGTCCGAACATGCTTAATATTATGATGATGTGAGATCCTAGGCCATGTGAAAACCGAAACCACTATCGCCTATCATGTCAGTATTCTCCATTGTGACCACCACATACTAGCCCGGGCGCTTTGTGAGCCACTATTCTGGTTGGCTCTTGGGTGTTTTTTGATCTTATTACAACATCTCTTATGCCCATGGTTTGACGTGTCGGACTCGAGTTTTAGAGGATTGTCCCACCGATGTCCTCCAGGGTATCTGTGGTACGTTTTGCGCAACGTGTGCTGAATCTATACTTACTCTTACCGTACGGGATTAATCTTTCCCTAGTTTTTACTAAGCCACTATCAGGCATTAGAACGTTGAGTAAAATCAAGCAGTTCCAAGTGTTTGTCCCCTATTTCTAGCACTTCGAGGGTCATGCATTTGCCAAGTCACCTGTCGATGTTCACCTAGTGTTCTACAGTATCAACTATTATTGTGGTATTAGCAACAGATGGTAATTTCACTAGTGTATGAGTTCGTGTTGTTACTCTCATAGTCGTGTGTTTGGTCGAGTCTGTGTGAGGTTTGAAATGATTACTTCCAGTGGGGTCTTAAGCATCGCTTTTATTAGTTCCCTTGACCTGATCGCTGTGGGCAAAAGTACAATAATGAACAAGGGTGATTCGGCACAGACCCGTGGCGATATCATGACAGTGCTGTACTACAGATGCAGTGAACGTGTCAAATGCAGAAATCACATTTGAAGATCAATTTCAAGAAACAAGGACCAGGGCAGAGATTAACTTGGGAATGACAGATTGAATTGTAGGACACTACTTCCTACAAGACGCATGTGCGAAACATAAATCAAAGAGCAAGCAAATATCTGGGGTTTCAAACTCGTAAGATGCAAAGCACTGACCGTTGCTTAGAAGCTTAACTTATGTTCAGTTTGGTTCTTTTGTGCTTAGAGATAGTCAAACAATCGATCTAGTTGAAATGTTGATGCTAACATCATTTTCTGTTCGAATTATTCGTGTTGGTATGCTGTCCGTATGGGTTGACTTCCAGTTCCATCTGGATTAGTAGGCTAACTGAACGAACAAAAGCATAGACGCGGAGAGAATTCCAACTAGTGGTCCAGTTAGTTTGTTAAGCTTAATACGGTTTGTTAAGTTGAGGAGAGGTTTTCGGGATCTCATTATAGTTTGGCCTTGACAGGACTTATAAAAACAACCAATACATACGGATCGTTATAAAAATTCATATAATACGTTAAAATACTGATAGTTATGGGAATTTAGGACAGATAGCTAGCAGTTACTCGTAAAAAACATGAGTTGATCCGAGAAAGACGTGTAATAAACCGAATAGGGGATGGCGAATAACTCTGACAACTAGCTTCGAGGCGGAAATAATTGATTGGTTTTGGACAGCGTCAATACGCAAAGCGCCACACAAATGGCGATATTATTGCTCACTAAAACAGTAATAACTGCAGCAAGCTCACTAAACCAGTGGAAGATGGATACAATATCCATTATGCTTTACGGAGGTCATGGGGCTGAAAATAAACTACATCAAAATATACTGAAAGATGAGATATATTATCGATCAGTTGAAATAACCTATTTTTAGATTACGACAGACCAGAAATGCAAGTGCGTAAAGAACAATATCGTTACGTAGGATGCTAAGGGAGAGTGCAAAGAAGAGCGCGTGAGGTAGTCTGGATGAGAGTAGAATAATGGAACTAGTGAGCCCATGACTTAGCAAACGAACAAAATGCAAAAACAGTTTGCAGCAATAAAGGTGTGAAATCAAGACAATAAGGATCGGTATTTGATCACGTAACGCTCTGAACCCTGCAGAAATATAGAATAATCAAACTTCTTTGACTGCAGTACTGCAATACAAGAAAATTTACATAATGATCTAAACAGCGTTTCAAACTCAGCAGTAATAATTGCATAAATTAGGTGAAACTACGGAAAATATAAATACTGACTAATCTCATTTGTTGACTACGTTGACTACCTACTGTGTAGGTGGTGAAAGTTAACAATGTACAACAAGGCGAGAATTTGATAATCACGTTACTGTATTACCGTTGTCACCCTCCTGTTGTCGTCTGAGATAAATGATGTAAGTAGCTACTTCTGGGAATAAGGTTTTATATTCTAGTTTGAAATCTATGTATTGAGGATACGCTGCCAGCTTTCTGTATGAGGCTGGCGGCTTTTGTTAACTTTTTATCGGTAAGCTTCCATGCGTTCCTAATTGTTCATTAACTAGGTTATTTGAAGATATTCACGCCTCTCAGTGTAGTTACAAGCTTCAAAACTTGAGATGGAATTGCTTAACTTCCGGTAATTTTCCTGGAAATAACAGAAGGTTCCCGAGCTTCCAACGTTTGGGGAAATTCTGGGGTTTTTGTGCCATTTCCCCAAAATTTACTATAGCGGCTTCCCCAAAATGTGCCAAATTTCCCCCAAACTTGGCAGCTTGGGTTCGGTAATATATAAGTTTAGGATTTAGTTCCGAGATTTCTTCAAGACCTAGAATTCATTACAAGATTCACCCAAGTTCACCAAAATGTAATCTCGGAATTGGTAGATTGGCATAGGCTCTGTTAATATTCTATATGGAAACCTGTGTATCATAGGGATAATGTTCGTTCTTGACTTTCGAACTCACTTTCAATGTTCTCGGAGTCTTCTCAACATACTTAGAAGTAAAAAATATCATGTTCGATACCATTCTTTCGTACTTAATTTGTAAAAACATGATCACAACAATCTGCTGTTACACAAAATAAGCAAGTCAAAAACCTCAGACCTTAGTGTTTACGGTAAACCTTGGATTCTCTCAGTCACTTGGTTAGCTGTTTTCTCCATTTTGTTCAACATAGCGGAAATACCTTTAAAATCTGTGCTCGCAGTCCAAGATCAATCTGGATGGGAATACTGCAGTGAATTTTTGTATTTCACTTGGCCAATATATGTCCTAGCGTTCTACACTTTCTAACTGCAATCAAACAACAGCGTGTTACTGTTCTTAAGTCGAAACCTAATGTGGCGAGACTCTAATTTAGCGACGACCTTTGAACGAATCTTAAATGACCTTGACAATTATTAGCCAATCAGAAGACAGTTATTATAAAGTGAGAATATATTGTAAGTAAGTAATGAAATACAGTGGATATTCTTCTTTTACATGATTTAAAAACTTGTTGAGGTTTGATGAAGGTTCAGAGGCTCTCAATTCATAATGCATATTGTATAGAAACTCGTCCATAGGGTTAGTGGTTAGGGTTGTAGCCTGTCAATAGACATCTCTTCTCTAAAATCCGATGTAAACCGATCGCATGTTAGCACCCTAACCCTAACCTTAACCTAACCCTAATCTAACCCTAAACCCTAATCTAACCCTAACCCTAACCTTAACCTAACCCTAACTTTAACCTTAAACCCTAATCTAACCCTAACCTTAACCTAACCCTAAACACTAATCTAACCCTAAACCCTAACCGTAGCCCTAAACTCTAATCTAACCCTAACCCTAACCTAAACCCTAACCCTAAACCCTAACCCTAACCCTAAACCCTAACCTAACCCTAACCCTAATCTAACCCTAAACCCTAACCCTAACCCTAACCCTAACCCTAACCTAACCCTAACCCTAACCCTAACCCTAACCCTAACCCCTAACCCTAACCCTAAACCCTAACCCTAAACCCTAACCCTAACCCTAACCCTAACCCTAAACCCTAACCCTAAACCCTAACCCTAACCCTAACCCCTAACCCTAACCCTAACCCTAACCCTAACCCTAAACCCTAACCCTAACCCTAACCCTAAACCCTAACCCTAACCCTAACCCTAACCCCTAACCCTAACCTTAACCTAACCCTAATCTAACCCTAACCCTAACCCTAACCCTAACCTAACCCTAACCCTAACCCTAACCTAAACCCTAACCCTAACCCCTAACCCTAACCCTAACCTTAACCTAACCCTAATCTAACCCTAAACCCTAATCTAACCCTAACCCTAACCTTAACCTAACCCTAACTTTAACCTTAAACCCTAATCTAACCCTAACCTTAACCTAACCCTAAACACTAATCTAACCCTAAACCCTAACCGTAGCCCTAAACCCTAATCTAACCCTAACCCTAACCTGACCCTAACCATAAACCTAAACCCTAACCTTAACCTAACCCTAAACCCTAATCTAACCCTAAACCCTAACCTTAGCCCTAAACCCTAATCTAACCCTAACCCTAACCTAACCCTTAACCCAAACCTTAACCTCAAACCCTAACCCTATGGACGAGTCTCTATACAATATGCGTTATGAATTCAGAACTTCTGAGCCTTTATCAAACCTCAACAAGTTTTTAACTCATGTAAAAGAAGAATATCCACTGTAATTCATTACTTTCTTGTAATATATTTTTACTTTATACTGTCTTCTGATTGGCTAATAAGTGAAATTGCTCAAACGCTTCTTACTGGCTCGTCCCTAAATTAGAGTTTCGCCGTCCCATCTGTTTTAACCTCTCATTAATCACCTCCTCTCTAAAATCCGCTGTGAACCGATCGTATGTTAGCATCGCGTGTTGAACTTGGCTCCGTGACCTTGAAATTGCTCAAACGCTTCTGATTGGCTCGTCGCTAAATTAGAGTCTCGCCCCTAATGTCACTAAGTATGACTAAAGACATTGACGCTCCTGTGTTGTATGTCCTTACATTAGCGTAACCACTGTGCATGTAAACATCATGACCAGTTGATGGGCATTAGTTGCAATCTAAACCAGCTTAGTAGTACTTTCAGATCACATTCGGTACTGATAGAAAGTCTTTGGAATGTAGTATTCTTGCTGTATTACCTATCCAAACTTGACTCACAGAAATATTGGTCAGTGACCAGCACGAAATATCTTGATACTCTGTTGTACATTATACCTTTAGAGTTATTTGTCTTTAATTAAAAGCATTATAAAATAAAAGCAGGTGATATATCGATGTGCGATATACTTGTTTGCTTGCGGCTGTAACCCTTAGTGGATCATAGGCTGCCGACCAGGACTCACCAACCAACTCTGTCCTGAGTTCTTTTCCCGTTATTTCCAGCTGTTACTTATTTCTTTGATGTCTGCCTCAAATTCCCGACGTAACATGTTTCTCGGTACCCTTTTTACCCTTTGTCTTCAGGATTCCAGGTTAGGGATTGCCTCGTGATTCAGTTTGATGATTCCCACCGTGTATCTCCTACTCACCTCTAGCGTATTTTCCTAATTTCCTCTTCAGTTAAAAGTTGGTTTGTTCGTTGCTACGTTGGGTTGTTGCGGATATTATTAATCCAATGGACAAAGTATCTTGTATGGATGTATAGTACATATATGTAAATCTAACTTCAGAGTTCAACCATTGTTCAACTAGAAGGCTTTTGACGTTCTTCAAGTTTTAATATTTTTTGTGACAATAGTATTGTCAGAAATCCCTCACTTGGTTGTTATGGTAGGTTCCCCTGGATGTGATCAGATTGTAACATTTAAGTCGTGAAGCTACGAGCGTCCCTACTATAATTGCACCATTAGATGTATTATTTTTACAACACACGTTGTCAACTATTGGTTCTTAGCGTAAAAATTGTTTGTCGCCTTACTGTTAGAAAGTCATACACATTCTGTCTACTTAGCTAATTTGTTCCGTAGTTAATCTCACTTTTATTCCGCTCATTTCCACCTGAAGCTGTTTTGTGAACGAGAGTATACTAAATGGTAGATTTTTTAAAGCATTCCTTATTGGTAAACAAGGTTAAAACATATCCTTACATTCTGGATAATCTAAAAACATGGTTATTATGGTTCATTTATTTAAAGTAATATTTGAATACACTTGAACACACATGTGGACTCCACGATTAAAATATAATCTACCCTTATTTACCTTCAACACAGTTCATGTCACTTGACAAATCCAGAACCAAGATTGCACTTGTTATGTATTAGCTAAATGAAGCTAAAACTATTCTTATGTATATAACTCATGAGAAGCAGCCTCACCAATGCAACTTTACAGAATAAGTGTTGTGTCATCCCACAGACTCACTGTTTTTATTGGTGTTTCTGCCTGTTTGCATTTCTATTCATGAGATATGAACATTCACAAGCCCCTTAGTTCGAGTAAACTGTTAAAGATCTACTGACTTTTACTTACATCTGGTCACGAATTAATTATCTTTGATAATGTTTTTATAGCAAAATTTATATGTTGCCAGACTATCTTAATATGTAAGTTATTTTAATCTCCTCAGTATCTATTTAATCAGTTTCCCTATGAATACAAATATTGTCGTGATCTTGAGATAGGTTGTAAAGAGAAGTCTTGTTGACCTATTTCTTGTATGTACTCCATAGTCACGAGTATCTCATCTCAACTCATACAATAGTCAGAGTTCAAGATGATTTTCAACGATAGTTAACAGTAATTTTCTTTCTTTATCTATATTACTGTTTTAGATAAGTTCAAAGTTAAGTAACAAATCTCTCTGCGTTTAATTTTATAGTCGTTCAGAGACAATTTTCAGTTCTTCACTTTAAGTCACAATTGCTTTAGCAGTATTTTTTTAAATATCTATCAATCATTCATGATACTTCTACATTTTAAAAGTAAACTGAATTTCAAAGCCCCTTTTCACTGTAAAAAACTAGTTCGTAAAATATAAATCTATTCAGTCTGCTGATTGAATAAACAATCTAAAATAAATAGAATGATAATAACTCTACACAAGTGAACTTATTGTGATTATTTATTTAAACACATGAACATTGGTACAATGAGGTACCAAATAGATATACGCCACATAAATTATTCGATTTGCATGAGGGCTGGAATACTGCTCGGCTACCCAGACCGAAGCAGGTGGTTTTCTTGGGAGGCTACCACCCGAGCCTTTGACCTAAATGTTTGATTCATAAGGCAGTGGAGCAACGTCAGGAGATGCAGTCTCATGATAGACAGTGATCAACGATTGGTTAATATGCCATTTATTCCTTCAGGATCATGGAACCCATGTGTACCATTGGTTTGAAATGAGGGTTTTCCAACTCCCCTAGATGAATCCTCCATATTCACCAACGCGATTAAAGTGCCGGACATTCGCTTTTCATCCTCTCAATTTCGTAAACGACAGTAATGCCGCGAGAAGGCAGTGGTTAGGACTTCCCTGGAAGTGGTTATATGTACGTGGCCATGTGAGAACATTTCCAGACAGAGAGAGAGAGAGAGAGAGCTGACTCTCCCAACTCTCGGCCGTGCCATGACATTTGAGGACAATTTATTGTATTATTAATCATACATTTTAAAGTCCAGTAATATTGTCTTTAGTGGTTTTGATATTTAAGCTTTCAACTTGTGACTCATATATTCTCTTGCAATAATCTATTCTAATCGAACGGATAATTTCAAACGAAAATTTTGATTTATAGATGATTTGGAATAATACTATGAACATATCTCAAAAGTTTTCAAGACTATTTAAAACACTTGGAAAATTATCATATCGTCAAGTTAACACATTATCAGATGATATAAATCAGGTAATTTTCTAATTATTATTGTTTATTTCCATGCAGGTAGTTCTGTTAGGTAAAGTGACTTTTTTACATTTGGGTGAAAGCGCTAATGGTAAAAATGTTTATGCATCTATTGGATTAGTAACGAAAAATAATTATATGACTGCGAATGGATATTCATCTACCTTAGCTTTTCATAAGTAAGTCTAATTAATTGTTTATTTATTTAAACACAAATACTGACACAAAGGGGGCACCAAAATATATGTATGCCACAATAAGAAATTGAGAGTGAAGAAATAGAGAAAAGAAGGTGAGTAAAATCGTAAAAAAAAACAAGAAGAAGGATGAAAATAAATGAGTGAAAGTGAAAAATAAAAGAGGAGCAGTTCAGCTAAGAAAAATACTGCCAGAAAACACTTTCAGTCAAATAAGTTTCACTGTTTTGAAGGAAAGTAAGAGAAAATTACAAAAGGACCGCCACTGACTTTTATCCTGAGTCATATCTTATAATGTTTCAAGCAACTGTGTTACACTATCTCTAAGGCCTCAATTAGGCTGTTGCGAAGGACCGGCATATGCTAGTCTTGTACAGTTTTTCTTCATGCCACAACATTTTAACATAAAATGACCACCTTTCCACTTTTGCCAATCACTTCCGCGATGCACAAGTAACCCACGTTGTGGAATTCGCCAGAATGACATTTGTGGTACACGTCCAAGCCATCAAATTCGGTGATACCAATCCAATTATCGTTCCTATGTCTGAATTTATGTTGCCTATCCTCCGCATTACTAACTTGTCGTTGATACTTGAACCTGTCTACAACAGGTTCCTAGGTGCGCATGACTAATTAGCTGACTGTTCTAATGAATCTGTTGTTAACTATGTGACATGAATATCGTGCTTCTTAAAGAACTGTTAGGGTTTCTTTCACTGTCCTTAAGTTTTAACATAGAGTTCTTCCATGTTAGCTTAATTTTACACTTTGACATTGGAGATAAGCAAGGTTAGAGTCATTCTAATTACTACTTTTTTGCTAAAATAAATGTTAATATCCCATCTGAAATCTATTCAAGTTTCATCCATTTATTTTCTTTTTGTTTCTTTTATTAAATAACAAAAATCACCATTTATTACAGTGTGTTTGTTTTCAAGCAATCCTTTGTGGATAAAGTTAAACATTTAACTAAAGGTGATCGATTATGTGTTATTGGTCAATTGAACTCTTATTCTAATCCTAATGGTTATTGGCGTTCTAGTGTTACAGCTGAAGTAGTGAGTCCACTTATTGGATTATCAACAGTTGATACCGATGATGATATACAAGCTGAAAAAGTTGAAGAAGACGAAGAGATTTTAACAGATGAAATGAATAATAAATTTGATGCTGAAAAATAATACACTTCAGTATATGTATATATATATATATATCATAGATTTGTACAATATCTTGTGTGTAATAATAAGAAATTCGAAATAGAATAAATTTATCTTATCTGTATAGTATAATAGCCTGAAAATGTCAAATAATTCTAAGCATAGATGGGTGATGGTTATCAGTGGAATCTAAGATGCGCGTTTCATCTTACTTTGAACTCGTCAGCTAGATGCGTCTGCATTTTAAAGATGATGTTCACTCAAGAACTCGTAACCAGTATCGCTCGTTTTAAACACCATCTCTTTATCCAATTAGTTACTACTCTATTGAACAAGCTAGTGGTTATCTGGACTCAATAGCTAAGTGGATAATACTATGGCTAACATACGATTAGCAGGTAACAATAGCTTCCTCAACAGAATAGATCCGGTTGGTTAAGTACATGAAGTTCCGAATAAATTGAAGGGGTTCTAAGCGTTCTTAAACACGTTATTATTACATTATATTTACTGAATGAATATCGTCCATATTGTCGATTTAGACTCTCCTCACAGAAGAAAATATAGGCCAAATACGAACAGGGATGAGTAAGCCATAAACATTAAGCTGTATATTCGTCTACATGTCCTGTCGTTTCAAATATATCAATCAGAACTTTTTAACTGATAAGTCTGGTACTCGAACGCTTGATAGTGACTTTCTAACCACTGCCAAATTTCTCAGGGTGAGACTATAATTTATGGATGATCTTTGAGTGACTCTAAAGTGACCTTGAAAGTATCCACCTACTACCTAGGAACAAATGAAGTTTAGAAACCAGTGTGATGAATTAGATTTGGGGTTTTCATCACGAACTGACATAATCTAAAATGATAGTTAGCTGAATGAATTTCGTACTGAAATCCAAGACATGTTATCCTAAGTCTGATTGGTTCGTCTACAGATTGTAGTCTCGTAGGCAAGAATTTTTATTGGTTCGTGAGTGACCTTGTCATTCTGTTAGCTTCTTGGAACATGCTGTTATATTTCTGGAGCTTTTGAGGAGTTTTCATTAAATGCTGTTTGTTGGGATGTAGTGAATGAGAACAACAGTAAGGATAACTGAATGTATTTGAGTACAGAATTAGTAAAATCTAAGAACCATACAATAAATACTTCATTTCAAAGTGTCAACTAATCGTCTTGGATTTGATTGTTCCTTCGTTTCCACACTAATCATCCTCTGTTCTCGTTCTCTTTCCTTCGATCTTAACTTTCGATTGACGATACATACTATTTATATCTGTCTACATCAGTAGCGCACCACAGTGAAATGTGTCTTTATTCACTCCAACCAGTTTTGAAACTAAATTATAATTAAAATCAGTTACACAATTCACGAACGATCGTCTTTCATCATTACTTGGAATGTCTTTTCAAGGAAACTGTAATCATTAAAGATTACGACAAATAAATCTGAATGAGTATTAGTTAATATGGTAAACAAATGCCTGGATGAAATGTTTCTTCTCATAATCAGTGTTGTGTGACTGAATAAATTTATATACTTTCTTCGACAGATAAATGGAAGATGTATTAGGATTCCTTGATATATTCCAAACTAAGGCTATTATTGACAAAAGTAAAAAATCTCGGTATATATATCTATAAGTTAATTACTTACGCCTGTTAACCCTCGTCAAAAAGCATAGGCCAACCACCGCAATTCTCCATCCACCTCTGTCCTCGACAATCCTTTCCAATTGCTAATTATCCTCTTCATGTCTGCTTCCAATTCTTGACGTAGCGTGTTTTTGGCCTTCCTCTTTTCCGTTCCCATTCACGATTCCAAGTTAGCGTTTGCCTCATGATACAGTTTGGTGATTTCTCCAGTGTGTGTCCTATCCACTTTCAACATCTTTTCTTAATTTCTTGTTCAGCTGGTTTCTTCGCTCCCACAGTAGGCTGTTGCTGATGGTATCTGGACAGTGGATTTTAAGTATCTCGCGTAGACAGCTATTTATAAATACTTGTACCTTCTTGATGGTGGTTGTTGTAGTTCTCCAAGTTTCAGCTCCGTACAATAAGACTACCTTGACGTTGGTATTGAACATTCTGACTTTTATATTGGTTGAAAGTTGTTTTGAGTTCCATACGTTCTTCAATTGAAGGGATGCCGCCCATGCTTTCCTAATCCTCGCCCTTACTTCTGCATCTGAACCTCCTTGTCCATCGATGATGCTTCCCAGGTACTTGAAAGATTCCACATCTTCCAGAATAGAATTTTCAGTAAATATCGTCATTTTTATTTTAAGTGGGCTGTGATACTGCCCGGGTGCCCAGACGGAAGCAGGTAGTTTTCTTAGGGGACTACTCCAAGAGCCTTTGACCTAAAGGTTTAATCTACAAGGCAATGGAGCATCGTGAGGTGATGCAGTCCCACGGTAGCCGGTGACCAACGATTGGTTCACACGCCATTTGTTCCCGCAGGATACTGGAGCCCATGCGCACTATTGGTTTTAGGGTCCGGTTAAAGTGCCGGACATTCGCTTTTCGTCCTCCCAATTTCGTAAACAACAACCCCACCACGAGAAGGCAGGGATTAGGACTTCCTGGCAGAGGCTGTATACGCATGGCCATGTGAAGGCATTTCGAGACTGAAAGTTCTATTTACGCTTCTATTAACAGTCAAACAATTCACATTATTATTATTTACTACGTCGTTTATTCACTCTCTTGTATCCTCACTTTATGTATCCTTATTTTTCGACTTATACAGCAGCTCGCCTTTGGCGGATACTCGGTTCTCTCTAAACGTTCTCGAGTCACTAATTGGTTGAAAATTGTATGCTATCACCAAATACGAATACTGAAGCAGTTTTTCTGAAAATACATGCACCATTCAAACTGGCTGCTTTCAATGTTCGCACACTTATACAGGTCGGACAACAGATAGGGCTGGCTATGTCTTTGGAAAGTTGTAATATCGACGTTTTTTGTCTATCCGAGACCTATATTCAAGACTGGTGAAGTACTACAAATTCGCCCTCCATCTGTCGCTTCGAAAAGCTTATTTTACGTGCGCTTATCCGGGGACCCTGTGGCATCTTCGTCAGGTCTTGCAGGCGTTGGTGTCGCACTAAGCGCTAGAGCTGAGGCAGCACTAATCGATTGGATCCCCATTAACAGTCGGTTATGTGCTGTTAGATTGGAAAGTTCCATCAAAGTGAGAAGAAATCGACGTGAGAAACGATGTCTTTTCGTCATCTCCGCCTATGCTCCGACAGATTGCAGCCCGGATGCAATCAAGGATGAGTTTTACCACCAGTTATCTGTTCTCCAGAAAGTGCGTTCGACAGATATTGTAGTACTAGCCGGAGACTTGAATGCCCAGGTCGGGCGTCTAGGCACAGAAGAGAGTCGTTGAGGTGGCCGATGGGGACTTGTTGGTCGCAGGACAGATAACGGGGACCGTCTACTGCAACTATACACAGACCACAACCTGTTTCTGGCTAGCACAGCCATCGCCGACGTGCCACCTGGCATCCTCCCTCTGCATCTCAAACCTGGACTCAGATTGATCACATTGCGATTAGCTACCGCTTGCTTGGTTGTGTACAAGACTGCCGCTCCTTTTGGAGTACCTATCTAGACTCTGACCATGCCCTGGTCTGCGCCAATCTTGCCTTACTTTTCAGTGGTCAACGAAGTGACCGCCACCAACGGATTGATGTCAGAAAGTTGGTTGCAACTTCTGTTGCAAGTAAGTATCGAATTGAGCTAGCTTCTAGGCTGGCTACTATTCCACCGAAAAGTATAGATGAGCATAGGTTGCAGTTGCATGACACCATGAAGATGGCGAGTAAAGCCGCTTGCGGCTTCGCGAAACGTCCTGCTTATAAGCACTGGGTTTCTTCAGGCTCCTTACAACTCATCGGAGTCCGTCGGTCTACTCCGGGTGACCGTGAGTTTGACCACAAACGGCGACTGCTACGTAATGAAATTGAACAAAGTTTGCGTAAGTATCGGGAAGCCTGGTGGTCGGAGCGTGCTAATGAGCTGGAAACAGCAGCTGCATCTGGTAATTACCGGAAGCTCTTCCAGCTCATCCGAGCCACTGGCAGCAAGAAGTCTGGTGTGAGCGAAACAATCTGCGAGGATGACGGGATGCCAATCACTAACATCCATCGACGTCTTGGACGATGGGCAGAATTTTTCGAAGCGCAGTTCAACTGGCCTGCTGCTCGGGCAACATCGGTCGAACTGCCCTGCCTTCCATGGCCGGTGACGACTGATCCACCAAACGAGGAGGAAGTCCGCAAGGAACTCCGACTCTTGAAGCGCTACAAATCACTTGGCCCAGACGACTTACCTCCGGCTCTTTTTAAAGATGGTGGTGACTTTCTGGCTAGGGAACTGACTGCTGTTTACAAACGTCTGGGAACTAGAGAGCGTACCAACGTCATGGAATGAGTCGATAGTTGTCCCTATCTTTAAAAGGGGTTCACGTCGTTCCTGTAACAACTATCAGGGGATAAGTCTACTTCCGATTGCGTCCAAGCTATTGGCTTCCGTCATACTTCGTAGGTAGTTCAAAACCCGAGAAAGATTGACTCGCGAGGAGCAGGCTGGTTTTCGTTCTGGTCGAGGATGTATTGATCATATCTTCACCCTCCGCCAAATGTTAGAACACAGCCATACTTATCAAAGACCAACAATCGTAGTGTTTCTTGACATCAGGGCTGCCTTCGATTCGTTGGATAGGACTGTTCTCTGTGATTGTTTATTGAAGATGGGTGTGCCTGAGAAGTTTATTAACATCTTAAAGGCCCTATATACAGGCACCTCAGGTAGAGTGAAGGCATACAACCACCTTTCTCCATTGTTCCATTCGAGCAGTGGGGTTAGGCAGGGTTGCCCAATCTCACCATTCCTCTTCAACTTTGCCATCGATGACATTCTGGAAACAGCTCTGATGGATGTAAGTAATGGTGGTGTGGATCTGTTGCCTGGAGAAAGACTTCTCGACCTTGAGTATGCGGATGATATTGTCTTACTGTGCGATAATGCCCAAGGCATGCAATCCGCACTTAATCAGTTGGCAATCAGTGTCCGTAGGTACGGT